GAAAATCATGTCATCTCCCCGTGGAACTTGAGCACAAAGCACAGTGGGCACTCTCCAAGTTAAACCTTGATCCTACACTCTCAAAGAAAAAAAGGATGTTCCAAATGGCGGAACTTGAAGAAATCCGAAGGGATGCATATGAGAATTCCCGCATCTACAAGGAAAAAGCAAAAGTTTGGCATGATAAAAACATCAACCGGAGGGACTTCTACGTCGGCCAAAAGGTACTACTCTTCAACTCTAGACTTCGCCTTTTTCCCGGAAAGCTAAAATCCCGATGGTCGGGACCGTTCACAATCACCGAGGTCCGACCATACGGGTCAATGATGATTCAAAAGGGTGACCAAACACCATTTCTTGTAAACGGTCACCGACTCAAGCCATACATGGAGTATCATATCACCTCGGCAACCACCGCTTGCCCATTGGAGGAGTAAAAAGGTACGTTGCGTCCAGCCTACGACGTTAAACTGAGCGCTAATTGGGAGGCAACCCAACATAAAATTTCAATTATAAAGAAATATGCTTAGTTTCACAAATATTCATTATTATTTATAATTTAACAAATTATAACTAACTACGTTCATTTAAAAAACAGGCATATTTCATTTATAATTGAAAGAAAGAAAAAAAAAAAAAAATCGAAAATCGTACAGTAACCGGCGCCGGTTATACGGCACTACCGGCCCCGGTTTTAAATCGCAAAAGTCAGAAGACGTTCCCAGGGTACAACCGGCGCCGGTCCAAGGACCCAACCGGCGCCGGTTATCTGAAAACTAAGCCTCGATCAAGCCCCGAACGACAACCGGCGCCGGTCCAAGGACCCAACCGGCGCCGGTTGTCCCGTTTTTAACCCAACACCAGCCCGATTTCTGTCATTCTCACGAGCCAAACCCCCCCCCCCCCCCCCCCCCTCAGTCGAAAGAGCTCCCAAAAAAAACCGATACTCACTCCCCCAAATCGCCATAGCTTCAAGTTCTAAGGTCAAAACAACTCAAATCCATCACTCTCAAGGCTCCACAACATCATATTCAAGCTTCTTCTCCACAAAATCAAGGTAAAAAGGCTAAACCCCCAATTTGTTTTCAATTTTCAAAATTCTTTCTTCTTTTTCAATTTTTGGCCGAATTACTTGTTTATAATTGTTAAAAGTTGATCACTTGTGCTTATATGATGAATGTAAACATGATTCTTGCCAAAAGTTTGAGATTAAAGTTGAGAATTGGGGGAAGTTCTTGCAAATTTTTCATTTTTAAACCCTAGGTCCGAATTTCTTGCTTAATTTCCAATTATTTCTACAATTGATGACTTGAATGATATTGAAATACTTTGTGTTGACATATAAACATTCCAAACATCATTGTTGCATTAATTTGTGATTAAACTTGCAATTTTGGGGAAATTAATGAAAATTTTAGAAAAATATACCTTGAATTGATGAAGTTTATGGTGTTGTGTGTCTATTTCTCTTCTAACCATGCAGGTATGGCCCCGAAAAGGAAGCAAAATGACGGGGCCTCTTCTTCTTCATACTCCCACCCCCGTTTCACCTCTCATGAAAATGAAGAGTGGTACGATACAAGAAAAAAATGGGGAATGGTGGTGGAGAAAACAGTTGACCCAATCATCGACGCCACTTTTGAACTAACGGAGGCATTCATGGAGCTAGGGTGGGCCGTGATGCTTACCCTAACAGGGGCATACTACCCCCAACTGGTTCGTGAGTTCTACGCCAACATCACGGACAAACAAACTGGGTATGCCGTCATTCACTCGTTTGTCAAAGGCAAGAACATAAAAATTGATCCAAGTTTTCTCTCCTGCCTCCTCAAGGTCCCCGATGACGGCACAACTTTGGAATTCAGCGTTAAAGGGATCTCCAGTGACAAGACTTATGATGAAGTTCGAACAATGGAAAGGTATGAACTCCCAAAGCTCTTCACTAAATATTTGGACATCCGTGAGCGACTCATCATTTACCTCATTGGATTCAACCTTGTCCCCCGAGCAAGTGACCGTCATGTCATCCGAAAAATAGACCTCTACCTTCTCTCTAAAATGGTAGAGGGGTTGGGAGAAACTCCAAAAATATCTCTCCCCCACCTCATTATCAAAGATATGAAGACCGTGGTGCTCTCCAAAAGAGGTGACAAAAACTTTTGCTTTCCTCTTTTACTCACCTTGGTATTCAAACATTATAAGGTGGATTTAAGGGGAGAAGAAGTCCTCTACACGGATGACTCCAACATTTTGGACAATACCACCATGAATGCCCTTCAACATAAACTATCGGATGGAGAGTGGACGTTCCCCGGACGATTTTTTGCTAACTTACATGATGAGGAGGAAGCGAGGAGAGCGGAAGAGGTACATGGAGAAGAAGCCATGGAGGATGCTCATGACGATGGAGCCACACCCGAACCATCGGTGCCTCCACAACCGCCACACACTACCGACCCCGCGATGGCCTACTTGATGCACTCCATGGCCCGCATGCATACGCGGCTAGACACGCAAGAGGAGAGACAACAGAGGTTCGAGGAGCGGTTCGACAAATTCGCCGACTACTACTACTCCCAACATGGGTACCCCCCTCAAGACCCAGAAAATCAATAACGGCGTTGTTGATTTTATGACATTGCTTCTCTCAAACACATTTTATGGTGGATGTTGAAAGTATTTTGTTTATCATGCATGATACATTGAGACAATGTATTCTAAGTGTGGGGGGGGTGCATTTCATGGTTAGTTAAACAACCTTTGTGTGCAAAAATATTTTTTTAGGAAGGTAAAAATTATGTTATTTCTCTTTTTAATGGGTATTTGGTTGAGAAAGTTTTTTTTATTATTCACATAAAAATATCATTTTTTTTAGATTTATTACACTACTTTTACTCTTGAAACCCATTCCCAAAATAAAACCCGTGACTAGGAAATACCATCTTCTTCCCTTTTCAAAAATGGTTTAAGTACATCTCAAATATTCAAGGACCATTTTTGAAAACCAAGCCACCCCCATATCTCATCAAATGTATTTGGATCATCAAAATGACTTTCAGAAAGTACTTGTTGAGAACCAATTCAAATGAGTTACAAAAAAAAAAAAAAAAAAAAAAAACTCATGGTCTCTTCCAAGAACTCCAACTGATCCAATTCTATACTGAAAAAAAATCAACACCCCAAAAAGCCACTTGACACTCCCAAATAACCCCAGTCACAATCCACTTACCAATTTTCAAGGGTATAAGTAATTTTTCTAAATCTAATGATATTTTTTGTGTGTAATAGAAAAAATGGGTTTTGGACCGAGAACGAAAAAAAAGAGTTTGCAACCATTTTTTTTTACCTCTCTTAAAATATAATTATTTTTGTGCATATATTTTTGTTGAACTAACCAAGGCATCAAAAGGTGACAACATTGCTCGAGGACTAGCAACGCTCAAGTGTGGGGGAATTTGATAAGCACAATAGCTACCTATATTTTATATAGGTAATTATGATTATCTGTACAAATATTCAAAGACAAAGCAGGTATAAATCCCATTTTGAGTAAAAACCGCACAAATACGTCAAAGATGAAAACACAAGAGTCAACAATCGAAAGGGGCCGAGAACCGACACTTCGGGGTCAACCATGGGCGTAAAACGGAGCGAAAAATGAAGAATTGCAGTACAGGGGAAAACCGGCGCCGGTCCACCCTACAACCGGCACCGGTTTCATTTAAAGAGGCCTTACTACGGTGAACCGAAGCATGACCGGCGCCGGTCCACCCCTATAACCGGCGCCGGTTATACCATTTTCCACAAATTATTCAGCAACGAAGCAAAACCGGCGCCGGTCCACCCCGATTCTGCACAAAACATGGAGACGTGCAGCAAGATCTTGATGGGAAAAACCCACTTTCCTTATGATCTGATCAAATAATTCTTCCATGCTTGATTGTTGGGCTCGAATGGACTAAAAGATGCCAATCTTTAGCCTATATAAAGCCCCCAATTCATCAAACAAGATCATCATTCCATTCTTGAAGATTAAATTTCAGTTTTTATATTTCCTTTTTGCATTTTCTTGAAGTGTTGGAGAAGAAGCCATTTCTCTCCTCTACAATTGGTTCTAGGTATTATTTCTTGTATGTTATTGTATTTTGTTGTTCTTAGTTGCACTTTTGTAATTAATATGAGCATTAGAGGCTAAGTTCTTAGCTAAGGCTAGGGATGAACTTCTATGCCCACTAGGTGTTTGATAAAAGTTCTAAACCAATAAATTGTGATTTATCCTTTACATTTTGATTGTTTATGACTATGGTGTACAACATAGAAGTATGTTAAACTTAGTTTATGCTTGCAATTAACGTTGAGGTCTAAACTATGAACATTAAAGGATAAACATATATATTACCGAGAATAGAAATATATCCGGTATTATATGATACGGGTGTGATGTCTTGATATTCAACGGGGTTTTCGGTAGATGAATGTAAGCCGTAACGGGACTTACACGTAACGAAAACCACGCTCTCGCTGCCTTAACCGGAGTTGAGAATATATTAGCGACATCGTATTCATAATTTTTGGTAAAGAACTAATATTCAACCCTATTAAAGCATTTAAGTGATTCCCGAAGCCTTAGTTGTTGTTATCAATCACTTTAATCAAAATAATTTAAGTTATATCTCTGAAAATTAAAAAGAAGAACCAAGTTGTTGTTTTCATAACAACACACAACTCAAAATCCCTGCACTTTACTCATTTATTTATTTAAAGTCATCTACTCTCGGATTAAATTAAACAACGTTTCCCTGTGGATTCGACCCGGTATTTTACCGGAATTTATTACTATATCGGCACTTGTACACTTGCAAGTTTAGCCCGGTCAAAAAACATGTCCCAGTTCTCTATAATCTTTCCACCTCCCTGAGCAATCCATGTGCTCCATAGAAAAACATGTAAAAGTGAAATCCATTGAAAACTTATTCCACTACATAGGCATCAACACGGTTTTATGACTCCAAATCCTACAACTTAATATGATAAAACCTCAAATCCCACAAGTAAACAACACATGATAAAACTGGAAATTTAAAGAACAGAAACATCCCAGCACTTGGAAATGTCAATCTAGAATCTTTTACACCCAACACTTTCAAATAACAAAATAGCAAAAAAGAGGCATCAAAAGATGCACATCGGTGTTTGTTTAAGCTTACACCAGAAAATGGCTTTTCATTTCAAAATAAAAACTAACAAATGTAAACATGAAAGTATTTGTCTTCTTCAAAGGTTGTAGTTCGAACATCAGAGCTTTCCACAGCTGCTACAAATGTTTGCTCCCCATCAATAGGTTCAACTCTGGTAGAAACCATAACACTAACACTTCCAACATATTTGTTCTTGCTTCTTCTTCTCTTTGTTGGATTTAACTTTAAAACATCATATAAACAAGTAAAAGTTATGACATATGAAAGTTGGATGAGGACCAAACATAAATATTTTCATATACACACTTACCACCCTTTCTTTCACTTTAGGGTCTTCTGGACAAGTCCTTGAATTGTGCCCTACCTTCTTACATGTGGCGCAGTGCAATTGAATTTGACTTCTACCTATTTTTGTCCCGTTTTTTGTTACTTCACCAGCTCATCTCTTCCTTAATTTTGTTGGCCTCCCAGGTTTTGCAGTGTACAATGGAGGAAGTGGCGCCTCACTACTAGTCACAGGCCATTCACTGGGGCCAGCCATGGGTCGAATGCAACCTCAATAAACTTTTAAGTACATATTGGTTGAGTATGTGAGATTTACAAAGTCATGCACTTTTCCACTTTTCATCCATATTGCACAAATAGCATGCTCGCAAGGAATGCCTATTAGTTTCCACTTTTTACAACTACAACTTCTATTTTCTAAATCAACATGTTGTTGATCATCCCACATTCCCCGAACCTCAAATAAATGTTCATCACATTGCTGGCCCAAATACCCTGCAGCTACTCTTTCATTTGCTTCAATTTTGTCAATGATTCATCGGCAGATAGATGTGGTCCATTTCTTTCCTTTACTTCTGCAATCATAAAATCTAGCCATGAGTTGTTTTCTTAGGGTCTCAAGGCATCTAATCAAGGTTGATCTTTGGCTTCTAGAATCATTGAATTGAAACATTCACACATATTATTTGTCAGTATATCACATTGTGGAATGACACTAAAATGAGACCTTGACCATTCACTCGGATGCTTATCTGACAACCACATAAATGCACTTAAATCAATCTTCTTCATTTCTGTCATCGCTGAAGTGAACCTATTAATTGTAGATGCCCTAGACGCCTTCCAGAGACCATCTCTTATGGCCTTCCCATAGAAACCAGCACTCTGCATATTCCTTTGTAAATGTTGCACACAGAACCTGTGAAAACATTCTGGTAAAACAGTTTGACAAGCAAGTATCAAGCCTTTTTGCTTATCAGATACAAGTGTGACCTGACTTTCGGCCACTGCTGTAATCTGAAGATCATTCCTAAGCAACTCTAAAAACCATGTCCATGAATCTCTTGTTTCTCTTTCCACAATTGCATAAGCTAATGGGAATATACTATCATTTGAATCAATCCCCACGGCTGTTAATAACTGCCCCCTAATTTGCATTTCAAATGACAAACGTCTAGCCCAATAATTGGTCTACAATATTTGTAGCCCTCCTTACAAGCCTCCCAACATATGTATATTCTTAAGAATCTATTTCCTTCTCCAGTAACATCAACGTCACTCAGCTTAACAACACATGTCGTCTTAGGATTCGTGTTATGGATTTCTAAACAATAACTCCATAACTTGCTGAAGTCTTCCTCTTCTTCACCTCGAATCTCCGCTTTTGCCTTTTTCATCGCCCTGTATGCTTGTCTCTTACTCAAATGAAACTTGTCATCTGAAGAGACTTTATCTCTAAATTCTTTAATCTTCCAATTACTGTGGCTCTTTATTTCAGTTTTCCATCTTTTACCAACCTTTGACGACGTAACCATTTTGTTATGAAACGCCCATGAGCATCCTTCATGCTTCTCAACAAAATCCAACACTCTACAAGAAGAAGTATTTCTAAGCTTTCTGCAGTTTATTTTCCACGGGCAATTAGGATGTTTACACGAAACTGTAACTCTCACCTTATCGTTCTTTTCGAACTTCAAATCCTTCCCATTGTTGAAAGCATAGTTGTGTATAGCCTCTTTAAACTCATCTCGGCTTGCAAATGTTAAACCGATGCGAAAGTTAGGATTCTTCATATCTACACATGGTTTGAAAACCGGCCATTTCTTACCCTCTGCCTCACCTTCTGAATTTTTGCGGATATCACTTCTAGAAAAATTCAAGCCCTCATCCACTATATGTTGATGACTTTCATTTTCCACTGTGTGGTTACATGGTGTATCTACTCCTGCATATTCAACATCGAAATCAATAAACTTGTCAACATCAAGATCATCCAGCATTGTTTCATTCATATCATAGTCACTGTCATACAAATCATCCAGTTCAAAACTCAGGCGATCTTCATTTTCCTCCTCCTCAAATGCTATGTGAAGCTGCTGCGTTCTCATGAATTGGATGACAAAATTCTGCATTTGAGGACTCGGGCGTTTCAACCCATACTTCAATCTGTGTAGGGCTCACACCATGCTCCATTAAACGCCAAACATCAGAATCAGTAACTAGTTCACTTACAAACTCACAACTTGATAAAGTGAATAATTTCGTCTCTGAGTAACCATAGCCCAACTTCTTTACTTTTTCCCTGAGTGTAATTAAGCCCCACTCATCAATATCCATATAGTCCCACCAATCTGTCATCCCACCAATTTTTCCGCCATGCTTCAACTTCAAAGTAAAAAAGCTCTTATCATCTACCCTATCTGTGAGACAAAAAGTGGAACAACACTAATTCATACCATAATTTTGCATTTTAAAAAAATTCCCAGCTAATGGGGTAATACCACTCTAGTATGTCAACATTTTCATATTAAAAGATTCTAAACAAAGTATCAGTTTATATGGTACCGTATTGCGGAGCAACACCGTTTCTATCTCTTCGTTGTTCCATTTCTTCTGGCAGCTTTCTTCACTAAACTTCCATGTTGAAGAATAAACCTTGGCGCAAGAGCTTGGGTTTAAAGTTGCAGAGGTTTTTAGTTTGTGGTTATGTTTGCAGAGGAGTTTCAAACAGTAGTTTATCCTAATTAACAGAGTGTTGACTATCAAAAGAAAATCAAAAATGATTTTGTACCCACTTTTATATCCACTTTTGTACCCACCTATGTTTGTGAAGTGTTTTTTTTGTCTGTGAACTCCGGCTCACAGACAATATTTTGCACAAACAAAATATTGTCTATGAACCGGGTTCACAGACAAAAAAAAAACCTCCACAAATATGGTGAGTATAAGGTGAGTATAAGAGTGACATCAAGAATCAAGAAAATAGGACTAAAGTTGGTAAGTTCCTGCTAGTTTGGGGTGTCTTAGATCACATTTAAAGAGCAGGACTAAATTGGGTCGTGCACAATAGTCTGGGACTATTTGTGGCATTTTCTCCATGGTTAATAGTCAGAAACTGCCCCAGACTTGAATCCTTCACTCTCACCCGTCAATAGGTTAGAGGTCGTAAACACGATGATGAGTTCGATGAAATTCCAGCTATATCCAGCCTCGCTTAGTTTGACTTCCGGCCGAGCGCTCGCCGGAGGCTGCCAACTGCTATCACCACGACTACATAAGCAACGGCGGTTCGCGTCTCTGTCGGTTCAATCTGAAAATGCTTCCTGGTCGGAGCAATTCGACCAGTCTCCCCTCACATCCACCGTTGTATCTTCTCCTGCCATTCAGCCCCTCCAGTTGGTCCTCACCCCTCGCCACATTCAACTCCTCTCTTTCTTCACCTGCACAGTACCCTCCTCTTTCTGAATTTCCAATTGTGCTTAAATTTTCGTACTTTCATTTTATTCTTTAATATGGAGCTTGTATGTTGTCATTTTCATTTTGTAATTTAGTAAAACTATGCTATTCTAGACTAATTTATCTTTAGGGAATTTCCTAATTAAAATTTTAAATGTAGCAGCATGCATAAAGAGAGTTATATACTGGTTATCCCGGAATTATGTATTGTTTATCCCGAATTTAAAAAATTAAGTAAAGTTCAGGATCAAATTTTTTATATTCTCCATTTACATTGTAGTTGAGGTGTTGAACATAGGTCTTCTGGATCTTGCGGCGTTGTGAATAAGCTATAGAAATGAGTAAAGAAAACTTCCTCTGGGGTAAATATATATTCTGATAAAAGTCTATTTGGGCTTTGTTGATCCTCCATTATGTCATTTACGTATCCTTTGAGCTAATATTCCAAATCCATTGAACTAAAACATTGGTTGAGGTTCATCATCTATTTGACGTATCTTTCAACTTCTGATCAGTAGTTGAATAATGGTGTGGCTAAAATCATGTCCATGTATTCTTTCATTCCTAACTAGGCCTCTCAAGCAACCCTACCACTCTTTACCCACCTGGTTAATATAAGTTATCCAAAGCATTTATCTTCCCTTCCATATACCCTTACTAGTTACTATGTTTTTCCCTTTGATCCAAAAGAATGCTTTAACCATTGCACTTGAATTTGCACTTTCTCAGCTGCTTAAACTTTCTAGGAGACAATGCTGACTGATATTCATCAACTCGTCATTGGAATATTTATTTTATCAGTTTTCTGTTTTTATTTAACTGATTGGGTGTTGTAAATATGCAACTCTTTTTACTTCCAAATATGAATGCAGGTAGTTAGATCATCACTCAATTTTCTTATTGTGATTATGCCTTTTACTTCTTTGCAGGCAGCAATTTCTGCAACTTGGCTCTTTTTCTCTGCAATTCCAACTCTTCTGGTTCATTGACGATCAATTTCCTTTCTGTTATTTTTTGTCATACTCGTCTTATTTTGTCTGATGTGTGGATACATGTTGCATTAACTGTGATTTGGGAATGTTTTTAGGTTTAGTAAATTTACCTCAGTTGCAGCTTTGCAGGATGAAGCCTTACCTCTTATTTAGGGTTAGTTTGCAAATGCTTAAAAAAAGCATTTATCAGCTTTTGGCTTAAAAAACACTTATTTTACCAAACACTATCAACTTTTATTGTTCTTGGCTTTCGTTTCAAAAGTGCTTTTACTTTTTCTATTACACAAAAAGCACTTATTTTACCAAACACTACAAACTTTTACTTTTCAAAATCATTTTTTTCTCAAACACTATCAACTTTTATTTAATCACTTCTCCCCATTTCACTAAAAAATCACTTTTTAAAGCTGTTGCAAACAGACCCTTAATACTCTTATATTGCAATTTGCAAGTAATACTCATTTCATTCTGACACAAAAGTAGTACAGTTGTTTATGTTTAGAACTTAGAAGTATTAATTTTTTACCAAAAAGTATGTCTGAAACAGGTTGTGTTATACTACGTAGTTAATACTTGATAGTTATCACATCAAGCCTCTGAATAAATGATCAGGTTCTTTTACATCTTCCTCGAGCAATATACAAGGTTCCTCCTCCCAGAAGCTTATACAATATACATCTTCCTCGAGCAATATACTAAATGTTGAATACTTGAAGTCGACACCGCGTTATGAGTAGTGTTACTTTCTCTTGTCTTGCCTTTGTGTATCCGCTTTTAGCCCTAGTGAAGCCATGAGACACATAATTTCTCACAGGGTTGTATTTGAAAGTGATTTATATTGGCCATGATAAATCAAATGGGGATGAAAAGTGACTTTAATGTAATCAATTAATGTGTGAAATGCCCCCACTCCCTTTCCTCCTCCCAGAAGCTTATTCTTTATTGTTAATATTTTGCTGTAGGCTCTAAATAAGGCAGCTACATCGCTAGAGAAGCTAATGGATGCCATGAGAGAGGAGCTTCCAGAAACGATGGCTGCAGTGCGGTTATCTGGAATGGAGATCAGTGACCTGACAATGGAGCTCAGTGACCTCGGGTTAACTTCAATACTCAGACAGTGTTCTTAACTTCAAAAACCATGATCTTAAATCGAATGTTTTCTTCTACAGTCAGGAATTGACACAAGGTGTGAGAGGGTCAACTCGAGCTGTACGTTTGGCAGGGAAGAGGCTGCAGCAGTTGACTAATATTGCACCATCAGGTTATAAATTAATCAAGTGGTTAGGTGGTGATTTTTTCTTTATCTTCACTATATTAGCTACCACGCAGGGGGTGACGAGAATGCAACCAAAGACAGCAGGACCAGCATTGGCTAGAAATTTGACGGGCGACATAAGGGAGGGGCTAGTTAAAGGCCGAGCATTTTTTGAAATGCTTTTTACACTTTCCTGGTTCTTTGGGTTGGCCTTCAAGTTTTTCAAACGTCGGGCTAAGATGGGAAATGATGGAACCAATATTTAATCTATTCTTTATACATGCATATTGTATTTGTTATCAAATGAGGCTGCTGTACTTCAGGTTCTAACTTGGTTACTGGGACTTGATTTGGGGTTGCTAGATTTGTGAATTGCATATAGGTTGAAAGTTAAACAAAAAGTTCTTCCAGGCTTCGATTTCTGTCAAATCCCTTTCCAATTATTTCCCGTGTCAAGGGTGGACACAGTCTGGTCTGGTTCCAGACCGGCTGGTCCCGGGAGAGGTGGACCCCAAGACCAGCACCAGTAATTCCGGTTCTGCAATGGTTCAAGTCAACCGGCTGGTCCTGATCTGTATTATTTTCTTTATGTATATATTTTTTTTGCAAATATTTTCTTTATGTATATTACAAATGTAAATGTTAGAACCTGCAAAAATTACTCTAACAGATCACAGATATTGATTCAAGAACTCAAGGCAACTTTATTCACTTAGGCAACAATGAGCCGAAGCCCCCCAAAAGATATACAACTCTGATCTTCCCAGTACAGACTAAAAGTCAAAAACAGCCTGTTAATATATTGTTGGCCCAAACGTTTTTGTATATTAATAATGGTTAACACACTTTCTAGCAGCCCACTACACTGTACCCATTTATCTGTCTGGCCAATCAGTATTTTCTTCTCCCGTTAGAATTCAAACGAGCTAGTGGCAAGTTGTGTGTGCAGTGTATTATTTGAGTGTCCTTGTGAGCCCTTCTAATAAAGCCAAATGCTTCCCTGTTATAAGCACACCCCTCTGCCCCTTTGTTCTGTGCGTGAAACTCAGAGTGTTTCCCCCTTCATCTTCCTCTTGGTGAGTGAAGCTATTATCCTTCTTTGTGAGGTGAGAGTCCTTCTTAGTGAGGTTAGTGTGAGTGTTGGCGAGGTTAGAAAGGTGTGTTGCTCCCTTAGCCTAGGTGTGCACAAGAGACAATCGGAAACCGAGCTCCGGACTGCCTGAGCCGGAATCCGGCGACGGAATCGATTCTCAACAGTGGTATCAGAGCTTGTGTTGTCGTCGCCGTTGATTTCGCCGGTTTCCGCCACCAGGAAAGTCTCCGCCGCCGTCCGCAGCCGTGCTCCGCTGTCCGCCGCTGTGCTCCGATTTGAGGTTCTGGAGGTCACTGGTCGTTCGCTGAAGCTTGGCTTGGTGCCGTTGCTTTCCGTTCGCCTCAAATCTCATCCCTGGAAGTCCGGTGGCCACCTAGGAGTTGCCGATTGCATAGATACGCCAGAAGTTGAAGCGCCGCCGTCGTCACCTGGGAGTCGCTCGTCACGGAGGTCGCTCGCCGCTTGCTGAGTTCGCAGATCTGTTCTGGACCTGGTCTGCTGCGCAAATAGCTGAAGCTTTGGCTTGACCTGTCGCTGGAGTTGCTCACCGTTGCTGGAATCGATTGCTGCGGAAATAGCTGGACGAAGGGTGTACGTCGCAGAGCTGAGTGTTGTGGTTGTCCTTTTTTCGCTGGTCGCAATTAGCTGGAGTACTCGCGTATTTTTCCTCGTAGAAAGAACGCAAGGTTCTTTGGGACTTAGCTGAGCTGGTGTTGGAGCATTGGAACCATATTTGGGCTAGTGGTCTGCTGACTTGGACTGAATTTGAGCCGAAACAGAAGACTATTTGTGGGCTTGAAGATTTGGAGTTGGACCTGGAGCAGAGAAGAGTCTCGGTCAACTGCTTAGTCAAACTCGGTCAACGCCGGTCAAAGACAGTCAACGGTCGGTCAACGGTCAGAAAAATCCCAATTTTAATTGGGTGGGTAAGGTCGAAACGTCTCTCCTAGGGTTTCGCTCCGGTATATTGACTTTTATCCCTTTTATCGCTTTTGTAGTGATTTAATCTTTAATTGGGTAGAAATCCTGTTTTAGGTTTATTATTGCTTTTAAATTGTTTAAATTGTTGTATTGTGTTGTGCTGAAAATTTATTATTTGTTTGTGCTTATACGGAAGAACAAGGGGTTTGAAGTTGAGTTTGGTGCTCATTAATACTCCCCACGTGTTCGTGCTAGTTGCTCCGTATAGTTGTAGCCTTATAAATATTTAAATTGTTTTCAGCTAAATTTACATTTTATTTTGTTGCTTGTTTTTCTATGTGAAAATATCTGCTTATAATCAGTATGGTATGGCTCCATTTAATGGAAAATCTGATTTTAGCATTTGGAAGCAAAAAATTAAATGTATTTTAATACAACAAAAATGTTTTAAAGCAGTTGGCGAAACCTATTTAATTTCTGACACAGAAGAGAAAAGGGCTGAAATGAATGAAAATGCATGTTCTGTGATTTATTTGAACTTATCTGACTCTGTGATTAGAAAAGTTGGAATTTTAGAAAGTGCTAAAGTTCTTTGGAATAAATTAGATGAACTGTATACTGAAACCTCTTTGCCTAACTGTAACACCCCCAAATTTCCCTCCCAAAATAATACTTAAGAAATAATAAACTTTTATTAATTTTTTTTTTTAAAACTTTCAATTGTTTGCAGCGGAATTAAATACTAACAAGGAAAAGGGGCGTGTTACCGCCACACCCAGCCCTAAACCGACTGGATGCTAAGGCTATCCACCGTAAATGTATCTAAGTAATTATTAAATTCAACATTTGAAATCATGAAATCTAACAAGGTTCATTCTAAATGAGACTACTCTAAAAATCTTCTAGGAGCGCTCTCAGTGCATCAGTCTTCATAAACCACATCATCTGTAACATAAGAAAATAAAAGAACAAACAACACAAAAATTAGCTTTAGAGCTAAGTAAGTCCCACCCAACCCCGTAAAATAATAGTTTTGTTTAAAAATAAGTATTTGTATATAGTATATACAAAAATGAGTTTCCAATAATTTCAAAAAGAGTAATAATATCTCTAAAAGATTTTCTTCAATAGTTCTCGTAAGTATTTCAAAGAATAATTCTCCAAGTACCAAAATATTTGATTTTTCCTCAAAATAGCTTTATAGCTAATTCTCCTAATCATTTAATTAGAAGGGCGGTGCTCAAGCGTTATCTCGATTCTTGAGCCCAGTGATCCGTTGTTTTGTACGGTCACTCCGATCTACTCTCGGTACCTCATCTCCTCTATTAGAATCTAGACTTCTACCTTAAGTGTGCACACCCCCTAAAGGGATTCCAAGCCCTCCGAGTAGTATGAAGTCTAAGTAGTTCTGACGTCAACGTCTCCCTACTCAAAATGGGATATACTCCCTAAGTTCTAGGTTCAAAGACCCTTAAGAGAATAGGTACTACTACTACTGCTTTAATAAATGGGATCTAATGCCCAGTTGTTCGGGGTGGTTACCGAACCCTCCAAAATTTATTTAATTTGCTTTACACCTCTCAATTCAAGTAGTAGTAGTCCTAACCCTCCCTCACCATTAACGGACGTGAAGGTGGCCCGACACCTACGGATTTCTCCCGTGGTGCCCCAATTATGAAAACAATCTTTTATCTTGACTTTCGAAAAATTTCCACATTTATGTCTCTTGGACAAAATTTTACCACAACGATTATTATCCTTAAATTCATAACTTTATATTTTCCCCAAAATATATTACGTATACACATAATCAAATATATCTCAGAATCACAACAAATACAACTTGTTCACAAGTAATTCATCAATCAAAATATTCATACCATCACAAAATCAAGTAAATAATTATTTACGAGGTAAAAACATAATTTTGGTTGCAATGTGACTTACCTCAAATTCCAGATATTCTTAGCAAGCTTCCCTAACGGCTTCCTCTCCAAAGTCACCTTCTATTATTTAGAATTCCCGAAGTCAATATTTGTTCTCATTCGTATTATAATTGTTCTACCTTCCATTAAGGATTATGCTTGTATATTTTATTATAAAAGTCCATTTTTAATTTTATTCTATTTTGCTAAATTATTTGGATTTCAGCCTTAACAGTCCGTTTACCAAATTAATATCAATTTAATTAAATCTCATACCGTTTAAATATTCAGGTCATATAATTCATCGTTTATTAATATGATTCCTTGTTATTTGTTATTTAATCGGTTCAACATATTGTTAATTTAACGCTTATGATTAGTTAATTTGATTTTTGTTATAATCCGATAAAGGTAATGCAAGTGATTCATGTTACGTAATGTTAACCGGCCTATTCGTTAGAATTTATCCGAATGTCAAGTAAACTATTAATAATAATGATCCTTTATATTTATCTTAGTTGATCTACTATTTAACCCAAATGTCCATTTTTAAATTGATCGGTCTATTTGTTCTTACCAATCCAGTTTACCATAACCCTTCCAATCCATTTAATGAACTTATTTAATTTCGATCCATTTACATTAATGCAGTATTGCTACCTTAGTTTTTAAATTCGGTCCATTATTATGTCTAACGATCATCCATATTAGTTGGTTTATTAATTTTATTATATCTATGATGTCCATTTTAGAGTATTTCAATGATCAATCGGGTTTAACTAAAACAGTCCTATTTTCATTTTAATCCCAATTAGTCCATTCGATAATAGCCATTTAATTCTATATAGACCATTGATATGTTTATCATTATTATTTATTTTAACAAACAAAATCCAATCCATATATATATATATATATATATATATATATGTATGTATATATATATATATATATATATATATATATATATATATATTACCCCTTTTAACAGATTACGAGCAGTCCAGATTTATCAAAATCTTTAATTATGATCGATCCAGGTTATTTTTATCAGTGAATCAGTCCATAATTAATTTATTATTATTACGTCATTACTAATAGCCTAGTCATCATTATTATCCTGGACCATAACATTAATACTACGTACTATGTATTACGAGTATTATTACTAATTCTCAGCCCAGTTGTGTTTAAATTAGATTAATGAACCGGCAGCCTAACGATATAGATTCGTCATCTTCATGGTTAAGAAAACGTAGGTGTGCAGGTTACCTCACTTGGTGATAGATGTTTAGCAATTCCGCAGCAGTCCTATTCCTCCGACGGCGTTGTGACCCGGTGGCGTCGACGAGCAAGTTCTCCAGCAATCTTTTTATCCGTCGTGAAATGCAGTCCGGCAATCTTTGCTCCAGTCCTTCCGGCGAATAACTCTTCTCCGGCGATAGGGCTAAGAGACAGGCAGACAGCGTCGGCTGATCCTAACGTACCCCCTCCGGCCTCTCTTTTTTTCCTCTCGTTTATCTCCTTTCTTCGAGGGAGTTCGTCTCTCGTGGTTTGGTGTAGGTTATCAACGAAGTGCCCCTATTTATAGGAGAAGATGGAAGCATCTAGGTCTCTAAAGATTAGCTATGTGGGTTTTATCCGATTAGCTCACGCCGCGTAGAGTTCGTTTGACGTTCTTATCATCATATACGCATGCGAAGCTTATTACGTGCATAATAATAATATTATTATTAGTAGTATGGATCACTCATTATGTATATATATACTTATCTATTAAGTTTGAAAAGTCAAACTACTTTTA